CAAGCCACATGGAGTCAATAATTGCTAAATAAATTTGCGCTTTTCTTTAAGGACACATACAAATTCAGTCGATATTTACTCACCCTCACATCATTCCAAACCCACATGACCTTTTACTCCCATGCAACACAAAAAACAACATTTAAAAAAAAAAAAGCTCAGTTTGAATCCACTATATTCTATCTGAATCTATCCGATTCATCTCATAACTTATTTGTGCATGCATGCGATCAAACTTGGCATGTTTGGTTAAGAGATGCACGAAAGCCAATGCCGTTTGGTGTCATGCACCAATGATATTCGAGAGCTGTGGTGGAAGGGAAGATTTTCAGCAAAAAACAACTCGACCCTCATGTTGTCAACCCTTCTTTGTTTGCATCGAGTCACTGTTTTATCACTCTAAAGCTGCTTTAAAACAGTCTATTTTGTATAAAGCGCTGTATAAATAACAGTGACTTGACTTGTGTTGGAGAGGATTTTCTTTTTCCCATAAATGCTATTAAAGTTATCACATTGGACTAAAACTTACTCACTTTGCTCACTCAGGGTATAACAGCTTACAAAAAAATGTATCATTTTGGGGGTATTTTTTCCCCAAATTTCTTGTTATGCTATTTAACTACCAAATATTGGATTCAATCTTTTTATCAACTTGTTTTCTTTCGATTAGCACAGGCTTTTTATTTCTTCTTGGAACTGATTAATCGTAGGCCTCAATGATCTGAACTTAATGCACCACCGTTTTTAAGTGAATATTGACAAATTATCCACAAATAATGCTTTTTTTTATTTTTTATAAATAATTCAGATCAATGAGGCCTGTGAAAAATAAGTTCTAAAACTAAATGCAACAACTGTGCTAAATGAAAGAAAACAAGTTGACAGAAAGATTAAATCCAAGGTTCGGTGATAATATAGCATAAACAGAGGTTTACAAGGTTAAAAGGCTGGTCATTTTTTCACGGAACAAGGGTTAAATTTGGGTCTGTTTCTCACTTGAAGCATCATAATTACATTTATTTATTTATAAGCAGACACTTTTATTCAAAGCGACTTACAAATGAGGAACATCACAAGCAACAGTGTTCATAAAACGCCAAGTTGAAATGGTGCTTTTTGAACATTTCCTTCCAAGTTTCTTCTGTTTTACACCGTTGAAAGTCAGTCACATGGGTTTGGAACGGCATGAGGGTGAGTAAAGATTTCTGGGTAAACTAATCCTGTATTGTTCCTTCCCAAGACCACAAGAAAGAAACCAGCACAAACCTCCCCCATCGGACATATAGAGCGGCGCAGACGTTTCTAGTCAATTGCTGTTCTACTAGTTTAAGACTACGAGTATAAAAATGACAGCGCTCTCACTTTCGGGTCAAACTACGTTTATTCTGCTGCCATGGCTGCAGTACAACCTCCTTATGAAGCCATATGGCCTGCTATTGTGTAAATATACAGTACAGACAGAATAATTCTGTAGTTTGCATGTCCAGAAATGATGGCATTGCAAGACAGGACTTAGAAAATGACGGAATATCTCCACAGCTGTGCATTATGTTTGCGCGGTGCATAATGCATCATGAGAGAGGAGTTTCCACACTCGCTGGCTCATGCAAAGTTTATACACTTGGGCAATGAAAACAAACAATTAAACGAGCAAGAGTCTAATACCCTCACAGGCATGAACCTATTTTCTGGTGCTGGCTTTGCGAGGACTATTCAAAGTTTAATGTTTGCACGCATATAAATTAACGCGTTGCCTCCTGGAGTAAATAAAAATACCAGCAATTGGCCACTGCCTCTGCAGCACGGCAATTCTGGGTCTATGATTTCCTTGCGCTGTGGTCAGGCCCCTACGGTGCAAATGCAGTCCAGATGAGTTCCTGGTTCACGGTTATGAGCTAAATGAAAGGCTTCAGGACAAATTCCCTCCATCAAACTCGCCTGAAATCAAGGCCTGCTGGTGTTCCAGCCAAGCCGGTCGCATGTGCACATGTGCAGCCGCGGGTCACGTGACACGATGCATGCTGAAATTCATATTGCATAAGTGGTTCTCAACTGGTCTGACATGCATATAGTAACTAGCAAAATAAACAGGCTTATCAGCTTTGAAACGGGAGAAAACGCTTCCCATATCTTTGTCATGTGTCCATTCAAACAATATTTCAGCACAAACTCATCGGTCATTATTATTCAAATTAGACAGGTGCAACACGGGCAGGTTGTGCAACATGCCTTCATCCTCAAAAAACAGGGATAAAACCACATCAAATGAAAATGTTATCCAAGTGACATTATATATTAGGATAAATATGGTTTCTACTAAACACAATGCATTTTATGAGGTTAATTTTCGGCTGCTGGAAGCATGAAACCATCAAAAGATATTTAAAACATAATTAACCGGATGAGAACCACTGCATTATATAATTTGCAAAATACATGCAGATAAACTAAATGGTAGAAAATTTGATATATGCATAATGCATTATATTCAGGATTTCATAAATAACTGTAACCAAAGTGAAATGCATTATAATATGACCATATTCCTTGTTACATTGGATATAATTGCATTATACTTTCTAAAGCTGTAACAGTGATTAGATTAAGTATTTGATGTATTACAACTGTGGTTACAATTATTCACAAGATCATAAGGTGCATTGCAATGCACAATTAATGCATTCAAGATGCTTTTATAATGCATTATATATAAAGGCTTCAAGTAAAGTGTTACTGAAAAGTTTGATGACAAGCAGTAAAAATGTTTTGAAAGCCAGAAATGACAATTGTAGCCAGAAGTCATTCTTTATGTATAATGCATTATACATTTTAATAAATAATTCTTACCAAAGCTACAATGCATTATAATATTTGAAGATTCCTTGTTACATATGAAATTGGTCATGTGATTAATGCATTATACTTTTTAAAGGCGTAACAATAAATAGATAAGTATTATAACTGTAGTTACAATTATGCATACAAGGTGTAACTAATGCATTAAAAATGCATTTTATATAACAGTTTTGGTAACAAAGTGTTACCAAAATTTCAATGACAAGCACTAAGAAATTGTTTTGAAAGCCAGATATGATTATTAGCCAGAAGTAATTGTCCTTTTACGTAAGCTTCTTTATAAACTCTTATCATTTTTCCATCAGATCGAAGTCACAATGCGGCATGGCACACGCCAACGCAATATTTCTCCATGCACTTGGCGGTGAATCACATGTGAAGCAGGTGATTATCATTCCTGCCATCACAGATGACGATTCACTGCATTCTGTGCTCTTATCTCAGCCATTAAAGCAATCTCGACACTAATTATGAATCCAGGGCATCATAACATCTGCGCGCTGTCATGAGAATCAAACTCTCCGCGAGCAAGTTTCCATTGTTTTATCTGCGCAGCTGAAGTGCTGCATGCACATATTGCTCTCAGTAACCATCTTGATAGGTAGGGTGTGTCTTCCCAACATCTGTAAACCATACATGTTCATTTGAAGCGTCCATATGCCCCATAGCCGAGCACCATACTGTTACCGACCCCTTAATGAACTCAAACTGTCCATTTTCAAATAGTTCGACATCAAGGCATTTTTACCAGCGGTGCATAACACGTTACATTTCAGAGAAACCTGCCTGCGAGAGGAAAGCCGTACTTCCCACAGTCTTGCTTTATGATCCATAAGAAAGTCAAGTTGTGATTCCTTTGACGTACGTTTAACCTCAAGACAACCCAATAAATGCTCTGTTTCTTTACAGACTATATTTTCAAGGGCCAACGTGGAGAATGATTCACACGGGATAAGTAGACGTTGCTAAAGGGCACGTACTCTGACTATCCTTCGATTTTAAAATTGCATATAAAAACCTAGATAAGGCTAGAGTCATATCTAGTCACGTTTTGCAAAATGCATCTGATTTGGGCTATAACCTACAGCTGTAGAGACAAATGAATGCATGGTTCATATTCAGTTTTTTTTTCATAGACATTTGACTTTTTAAGCTAAGAAGTGCATACTATGCACATTTTGCATTCTGTACTCTTTATTTTGAGCAACTTAATTACATGGCAATCCTCACGTTTTAAACGACGTCCCTCTAATTAAACACTTCCTAGCTCTTGACTTTAGAGCGCCATGTAGTGAATGGCTCTTAATTAGCGAGGCTTCAATATAAAGCTGGAGGAAGCCACCTTTACACAACCAATGCATAAGGACCCGTGTGAAGAAACACAATAGTCATTGTCTCCAGGCAATAAGTCGATTTCAAGAGCTCATACTGTGGGACTAAACTTACACCGGCTAATTTCCTGAGCATTCAGTGTCAACTACCTGTCACATTGGTTTGAAATAAGTGCATTCACATTTACTGCCGCATCTCTAAAACACTGGCTCCGTCTACACTGCAAACTCCAGCTCTGCGTGCTTTTTTGTTTTGATCGTTTGATGGAATTCGGTCAGATTTAGCCAATGCATTTCCAATGGAAAATGCTTTGCGATATATTTTAATGCATTTAAATGCATTACTGCATTAAATGCATGTCCACCAAAGGTAAGTAGCTATTGCATTTTGCATTGCAACTTTTTTGCATGAAGAAGCTATTTTCTTTTTTGATTAGGCATTAAAAATATGGCAACACTTTACAATAAGGTTCCATTTGTTAACATTAGTTAACATGAACTAACAATAAAAAACTTTTTATTGATCTTTTTTTTAATAATTTGTAAGTTTCAACATGTATTAAAATAAAAAATGGTGCACAAATCTATTGCTTTGCATTGTTAGTTAATGCATTAACTAATGTTACCTAATGGGATTGTGAAGTGTCACCAACTATTACACCAAATATTCAATAAAAATGATTGCGGTAGAAATAAATACAAAATACGCATACTTCACACGCAGATCGAAACGTACATCAGAAAAAGTTTGTTTAACTCTGATTAAAATATTTATTTTCCCAATAGCGAACATAAATATATCTTTATATACTTCTCCAAAATATGTGTTTTACTTTATTATAAATAAAGTTTAGTATTGGGAAAAATAAAGTGTCTGTAGACGTCCGGGCGTCAGCGGCATCCGCAGCCCTCCACGACCATGTCCTGGTAGTTTTTTAAGATCACCCGCTCGTATTCGTCCAGATAGAGCAGCGAAACCGGGCTCAGGTCCGTGGGAACGCAGCAGGCCCGGGGAATGTTGCTGTTCACCGAGTTCACCAGTGTCTGTACAATAGCGTGGTTGGTGGAGTTCAGGTGGTCCGCCAGTGGAAACGGACACTCGCCCTGGCAGTAAAAGGCATGGTATCCCGGCGGGGCGACTATCCAGTCATTCCACCCCACGTCGCTGAAGTCCACATAGAGGGAATGTCTCCTGCAGTTAGCTTTGTGCTTCTTCCGCTGTTTGTTTGTCCGCACTTGCCTCTTCTCACGAGAGTGCAGCACGTTTCCCTTCCCGTTGTGGCTATAGGTCACCAACAGCGGCCTCATTTGGGGCCACGTGTCCTCTCTGTCATGCAGGGACCTGCTGATGCGGACGTGTCTTTTGGAGTCCTGTTCTACACGGTCCGGGTGAACTATTTCCACCACGAAGCCATGGTTGGGATGCCCATCCGCAGTCCACCTCGTGACGGCGGGGCTCACGTCGAAAGTCTCCCACTTGCTCAAGCTGTGTTGAACCAGCCTGGTGTCCAGGAGTCTCGTGATGGGTTCTTGAAAGGAACCGGACGGTTTGATGATCTCGTGAATGTTAATGCGGTGAAATCCCTCGCTGAGGTTGCTCACGACCTGCTCTCGGAAAATCCGCAGCTCCGCTGACGTCACCAACTCCTCACCCGGGATGGAGGTCAGGTTGAAGAGGAAACGCTGAGTCGTCTTTCCGCTCGAACTGGACAGGTCCTCCATGGATTCTGGAGGAAAACCAATCGTAACGTTTATGGGAAGTTTTGACTGTTTGAATCAATGCCAGTTCCTTGTACTCTGTCAAACTTCTTGTTTACACTCATTGACAGGATGTGACTTTTACTGACCTCTTACTGGACACACTGGTTTAAAACACTTAAAAAGTGATTACTTATCACGGTTAACACAACATGATTACTTAAGAGGTGGTTAACTAACACAAAGGGCATTTCTAGTTCATTGCATGTCATTCATTTATCATTTACATAAAACTTTATTTTTTTAATTACTTGCAACTCAACAATGGAAACATTAAAAATTTCTCTTGAATTATATTAAAAAGTTCTCCACAGTAGTAGTACTAGTAATACTAAAAGCAATTGCTGTAACATTAAAATTAATAATTAAAATAAAATAAAAATTATTTTATTTACTCAGTACGAATTCATACAGTAGGTAGTGAGATGAGAGAGAAAAAATAAAGACAAAAACTACAATGAAGAAAAAAAAAATGCACCTGTAGCTGCACCATAGGTAGCGAGCTAAATATATATATATATTTAGTAACTTACATATATAAACATTGCCATTTGGGAAACTTTTGGGACTACAGACTACAGAAAATGAGCTCTGAACATCAGACTTTGTATAAATAAACTGCCATTTCTTCATCAAACAGTCTGTAGATAATCTCAATTCCTGTCAGGCACGCAGCATACAGCAGATAAGAAAGGAAAGCTGGAATTTCGAGAAGAGCGAGAATTCTTGAAGTAAACACTTGCTTACCATCATGGTGGAAGCTCCTGATCGTATTCGCGCGGCTGGCAGATCTTTCCGAGCCTTTCCCTAAGGAGCCCTTGGGTCTGTTGCTGTTGTTCTGCTCCGCGTTCACCGAGTGCATCGAGTACAAGTCCATCATGTATTGCGGAACCACTGCAGACCTGCTGGGACTCGGTCTGTGTTTGAGTCCAAACATGCTCAGAAGTCGAAGTTCAAACGCGTGCAGGACGTCCTGAGACAGAGAGGACCGGCCGATCTGGGGAACGAGTCCACTGGAGCCTCCAAAGAACACCTGAGTGACCATCAAAACCATCAGAGCGCAGCCGGAGGAGACCATGATCGCGCTAAACCTGCCAGATCAGTGACTAACGAGATCAGATGGGCTCAAGCAGGAGATGTGACCATATTCCGTGTTTGATCGAGCCATTGTGAGAGTTTGGAGGATCCTTCGTGCATCAGAGCAACCTTTAGAGCCGCTTTACGGAGGAACGCAGACCTGCGCTAGATCCATCTGGATAGGAGAAGCTCCATGAGCTAAAGCCTGTCATAATAGTAGATTTGCGCTCTTAAAATAACACAAAGCGTGAAAGTCGTACTACTAAACGGAAAAACTCGCGGACACTCGACCTTAAACGCGAGTAAAGAGACTAAATCGAGTGCATTCGCGATCTTCCCCGTAGGTGCACAAGTGCTTCAGATAAAGTCCAGTTTGAACTCCAAAGCGCAGTTGATCTTCTGTTCATGGCACACGAGATGATCAACGCAGTCTGGTGGGGTCTTCACATAAATCTGCTCCTCTTTTAGAATTCCCCGTTTCACTTAGCTCCATGTTACAGATCACTAAAGAAAAGCTGTTTATCTGCAGAAAACAGTGGGAGACTTCCACAGGAACGCCCGCCTCTTCTTACACATATTCAACAGTCACCGCTGTACAAAGACAAGCCGTAGGTGTTGAAACGGAGGGAAGTACGCGTATAAAAGTCCACTTCATTGACAAAACAAAAGTTTCTTCCTTCGCTAGGAGCGAAACAAGCCGCGGCGAGGGTTTGGGTACGTGTGTGTCCTTTACGCGCAGTGCGCAAGTGTGCAACAGCGTCGCTTTCTCTCCTTTTGTGTCTTTATGTTTAACTCTGTCATGACAGAATTCATCAACTCTGGACGTGAAGGGGTTCATGTGGACAAACGCGCCTTTGGAGAGTTCAGAGTTCATCTAATTAAGTAACGGAGAAAATATGTGAAGTTTACATATTACATTTAATAAAACATACTTGGTCATTGCATTTACTTTGGAATTGAATTCAATTAATCATTACTCTATCACTAAGAATATATTTAGATCCCAAATGTTTATAAGTAACTTTAAATGAAAAAGGACGCTCACTACCTAGCGCTCATATTCAGAGCCAGTGCGCCAACTTGTGGCAACAACGGTTAATGTGAAGCAGGAGACCGGGGCTAGTTGTCACACTTTTTGCTCCCTCCAATATTTCGTAGGGTGGGGTAAAAGTTCATTTATGTGAAGACACAAACCTTAAAGTCTATAAAAACGAATATATATATATATATATATATATATATATATATATAGGGATTAATTTTAAATCGAATAAATAGGCCTATACGAGAAATATATTTTTACTTAATATTTAATATTCACAGGGGATACATTCAACATATATATATATATATATATATATATATTAAAAAAAACTATCAAATTGGGCAATATGTCACAAAGGGAACCTGCCATTAAAAGAGCCTATTCAATATTTTCCAGGATGGGACAAATATGAAACCGCAAAAATGGAAGAGTCAACAAATGTACAAGTGTAAACTTTTGCAAATATATCATATAGGCTAAAACATGACAACTACACACATATATACACCTATATAGCGCCTATATATACACACAGTAGTCAACATTTGAAGTGGATCAAAAAGAGTTCATCAAAATTGTCCTCAGACAAGAATCCATTTTTGGTTTTAGGACAACTTTGAAAGGTTTTGATCCACCTCAAATGTTGACTATTGTAATTTCGGTTTCACTTTATTTTGATGGTCCCTTTAACACATTCTGTTGACTATAAGTAACGTTGCACCTGCATATCTACAAAGTCTCACTAGAGTGTTAGTATAGACTGGTAGGGTTAGGGTTAGATTAAGTTGACATGTACATGCAAAGTTACTTGTAGTCAGTAGATTATCTGTTGGGAAACCCTCACAATAAAGAGTTAGCCGATATTGAGCAGACAGTCTACTAATACTCTGAGTTGACATGTAGATGCAGCGTTACTTACTGTCAACAGAATGTTTAAAAGGGACCATCAAAATAAAGTGTTAACGTAATTTCATATAAAATATGTAAGAAATATTTTTTATGTAAACATATATAGATCTATTTTTATTACATATATATATATATATATATATTTTAAATCAACCTAAATCTCAGCTACAGGTTTTTTTTTAATTATTATTATTTATTTGCAGTTTTGCGTTCACTTATTTACACAACAAATATAAAAGCCATTTTAGTTTGGAGGGCCAAATTCACCAAAATACTCTAATTTAAGACTGCCATTTCATTTGTCCTTATATGAAATGCTGCAAACGGTTTCTAACCCAGGTCCAAAATATCATTAAAACATTAACATTTCACTGGTCTAAAATATTAAAAACCATTGAAACCATGTTAGAGAAAGGCAAAAATCAATTTATTATAAAATGAAGTTTATTTTTTAACAAATTACAGGTCTTGTGCATCCACATTTTCCCACCATGTCCTCAAATGTCCACAGTATCACTGAACAAGTATAAAGCACCATTTTAATATGTTTAAGATATGGACTAAAGCATTTCAAATTAATTGGAGTTCATCTGCATCCACACTCATCCACCACCATGTCTTCATAATGTCTCAGAACCACATTATCGTTATTGTCGTAATAGAGCATGGAGATGGGGGACAGTTTGATGGGAACGCAGCAGGGCTGAGGCGTCCCTTTGGGATCAAACGAATGGACCAGCGTCTGCAGGATGGCGTGGTTGGTCCCGTTCAAACTTTCACTCAGAGGGAAAGGACACTCTCCGTGGCAGTAATTGGCCAAATACCCCTGAGGCGCAATGATCCAGTCCTGCCAACCCACGTCTTTGAAGTCAATGTAAAGCCTTCTGGGTTTGCACACGTTACTGGGCGTCACAGGTAAGTAATACGCCGCACTTCGCTTTCTCCTGGACCTGCATTGAAGCGGATTCAACGACACCACCACCAGAGACGTGTACAAATCTGGCATTTGAGCAATCTGCACAGCTAAATGTGGGTTTTTCACATATGCATGCTCCTGAAGCACGTTGCTCAAGTGCTTGAGCTGCAACTCAACGTGCATCCCGTAGTTCTTACCTGGTTTTCTCCAGGTTTCGGCCAGATCGGTCAGATTGACGTGCACAGAAGCGTGCGCACCAGGCCCAAGCGACTGAGACAGGAGTAATTTACGGCTGGACTCGTGAGTCACTCCCTTCAGCGTGGTCCTCAAAACCCTGTACAGGTCCACGCTGAAAACATGCGGTCCCAGGTGAGCCAGATCCTGTTTGAACTTCATTTCCAGCTGTGCAAGGGAGAGTTGCTCAACATCCTCCAGCACCGACATGTTGAAAAACAGATGCTTTCTCACACAATTAAAGCAGTGGACAGCCGGAGCAGATATCAGACTACCTGTTTGGGGGAAAACAAGCTTTGTGTTATGGTGCAAGTGGGTTATTCCTGTTCTGCAGAACCTTTTTAACTCTGTAACATCAAAAAGGTTATAATTTACGGCAAGACACCACAGGTGAACAGGGTAGAATTAATAGATCTTACCATACTTTCCCGGTTGATTACTACATTAAGAAATTCAAACATTTAAGGCTTTCCAATGAGGCATCTTCTAATTAAACATGCACTAATTTGCATAAAGTTCCAGAAAAAAAATTTCAGAGGGGATTTTGGATTTCTCTTTTTAAATCAGAAAATACTGTCAGAAAAAAAATCAGTTTTTAGGAATAAAACGTATAAAATCAGACGTCTGATATGAACAAACCCTTCTATAAAACCCTTCAGAATAGAGATAGGAATAAAACTGTACATGTTGGTCAGTGTGAGCGTTGCAGAATTGAAGAAAACTCATTTTGAGAAAACTGCCTTTAAAGATATGCATTGTAATTGAAATCTAAAGACAAATAGGTCAAGTTCAGTAATAAAATTAGGTGAATGATATAGAAACAAATCCCTCTATAGAAACCCTCTGAATGTACATGGAAATTAAAACTGTAAATTGGTGTCTAAGTGCTGCTGAAGAGAAAAACAAAACTCATTTCGAGAAAACAGCCTTTAAAAATATATTGTAATTGAAATCTAGAGGCAAATAGATAATTAAGATAAACACCTAAATGTGCATTTTGCATGCTTTCTTCCCAGTCAAACACGTTATGAAAAGCTAAATAACCCAAAATATCAAAACTGACCAGTGCAAAAAATGTTTTTGCCTGTAGTGTCTTTCATTAAGGAGTTATTTCAATTAAAGGGTGCCTAAAGTTTTTTTATAACTCGATTTACAGAAAAATATACTGCCAATCATTGGTATTTGTGCAAGTCAGTTGTCTGACCAACAGTAATGATGTCACTTCCTGCAGGATGATGTCATAAAGAAACTGGCTTTTGTTTGTTAGGCGTTTCACATAATACTAACACGAATAGAACTAAACTAATTACAATTATTCAACAAAAACATGTTTTTGAAACACTCTGATTAGATTAAGGAAAAATTAAAAATACAAATGGCATTACTAAAATTGTATTCAAAAATGTCCTAAAAACTGTGAGGATATAATATACTACATACTAAGATTGACCTAAATTCTCAAGGCCTCACCTTGATCCTGGATGAACCTGACAATATTTCCCCGGACTCCATACTCGGACACCACACATGGATCGGTGTCGGATGTCGAGGTCTGTTTGCTGCCCTTCTTGAACAGTTTCCACAGCAGAGACGGCACTGGAGCCTGATGTGAAGGTTTTGGGCGACTCGAGAGACCCATCGAACTTAAAAACAGCTTTTCTTGCATGTTGACATTTTCTGTGTCTATAAAAGTAAGAGAAGACAGACTTAACATTAAAAACAAGAGATTGGGAATCACACAGAGCATCATTAATGTGAGCAGCACGGTCAAACAGAACCGCCGGCACAGACAGGGCCTTTTAAACAGCCGCTGATCAGCTTCAGATGATCAGCCAGACGAGTGAGGACTGACACCTGTGAGGTGATTGGTGGAGATAACGACCCACTGATGGACTGTGGGGGTCAAATCATTGATATGCAAATGAGTGGCAATGGGCCTTTGATGTTTATAGGGGCTCAGACTGATATACTGTCACAAAGTGCTACATTTTGCAATAGATTTTTAAAAAAATTCTTAATGATTTTAACATTTGTTTTTATTTATCTTAATTCAAAAACAAGGATAAAGCACAAATAAGCACCAAAACCTATGGTATAGGTATTTTTAAGGCGATCAGATTGTGCTGTATTTGACATTTATACATAGTTACACATAACAATAAAAAAATAAAAATATTTGTGTAGAAACAATTTTCACTTAGACATTTCTAGTAAACTTCACAAACAATTATAAAGAAACGGCAAGTAGCATTAAATGTGAAATTTTGAATTAGAAAATCTAAAATAGTATTTTCTTGTAAAACTGAGTCCTATAATTTTTGTTTAATTTAAAACGTTCAAAAAAAGATTTTTTTACAGTATAAAATGATTTAACAAATTGAAAAAAAAAATTTTTTTTTTGTGGATGTACCATGAAAAAACATGGTAGTACCTTGGAGTAACATGTAAATACTATGGTACATAAATGTGAGAATGTAATATATTCATGGTATACATAAAAAAAACTGTCCTTAATAGCAGAACAAATACATGTGATATTCATATGAAAAAGACAAATATAAATAAGAGAAAGAAAGAGACTAAACATATGTAACTTTTTAAATACTGATAGTTACTCATTAATGAGTTATTGTGCTTACATTTAGGAATTCTAAGTTGAATTTAATAATCAACTCCTAAAATCCCCAACCTAAAAAAAGGACAAAAATGAGTCAATAGTTGTCATACAGTAAGAGTATAGAGCTGTAAAAATGAATGTGAAGCAGCTCAGATCATTTGATC